AACGAGATGTACGCTTTTGTATATATAAGACCGGTAAGAAGTGACGGCAATAATGGAATTGAATTGCAGACAGACAGAGAGAGACGGACAATTGAGTCAAGCGCGTGAATCGTTCGTTGTGAATTATAGCGCTTGTTTAAGTTATAGCGTGACTTTGGAAATTGAGTGAATTTCAAAGTTGTATTGAGAAAGAATAAACTAGTTTTATTTAAGAAGGGACTTGTATCGCTAAAGCTTTTTCGGAAAGAATTTTTACGGAAAATTAACAAACAAACAGAGACGTAACAGTACTTTTGCTCGCTAAGATTTTATGTATTTGTAAACCCACACAATGTGAAATATTATTTAACATTATTATATTTTGCTGAAAAGTGGAGAATAAAATTTGGGAAATTTTGCCAAATGTTGATTGAAGAGGGAGTCCAATATATTCTGTCATTAAGGCTTATGCAATGCGTTGGAGACAGAGAGAGTTTATTTGGTTTTGACTCTGTCAATAGTCAATATATGAATAAAGAAGTGACGTTTCCTTGCTAGTAATCAAAACAAAAGGTGAAAAAAAAAAAAGGAGAGTGAAAAACTAATTGTTAACAGGTTACAAACTAACTTAGGTATGCAAGAAAAATTGATAAGTTGACGTGGTTTAATCACTTATAGTTCTCCAAAACATACAATTTTCACTACACCAGTACACGGCCTTACCACAAAGTGTGAAACTGTTCTGGGCGCTTGGAACTTGGAAGTGGAAGTCAAACATTATATTAAATAACTACAGTTTACTAAATTACGAGTAAGCCATTTTGTATTTGTAATGCCTTTACATTATAATTACGTACAGGTTTAATGTAGCCAGTTAAGCCGTTTTCGTGTATTAAGTTATTAACGTAGTTCTTGCAATCGACTTTGTCATGTAAATTGTAATAATGGCTAATAATATCATAGGTAAATATTATAATATTAACTTGATGTTAAAAGTAAATTAATAGATTCAGTGTTGACTTTCGAAAATAGAGAATTATACATAAATAATATGCTATAAATTATTACAACTTAGTGTTAACTCCTACATTTTGTGTACCCCCCCCCCCACACCACTTATCATGGCACAAAAATATATATAAGGCTTTGTTAAAAGTTGAAAGGAAGGATTGGGAGGGGATTACACCCTTCCTCCCCATACCACTACCACATATATAGGTTGTCAGTTATTTATAATTATATGTACATGAGGCATATATGTTTCAGCCCCCTCCTATTTTCAAAATTACAATATCACATATGATTAATATTATTCATTATAACACCTATTATCTCATGCAAGTTCTACTGTTTACTTACTCTTGAAGTATTGGACACTTATCCATTCATACATGACAAGTTACATTATAATGAAAGTTACACCAATAACGTAGTATAACTATCTTTATATGTTAAGCATAAACTTATTCAACATTGGCAACAAATATTAAAACTAACATTTACACACCATAACTCACTGACACTGCATTGGACAGGCCATTTCAAAACTAAATTTAATATGCCTTGGATATTGAAACTCACATTTCCAGCTCTTCCATTCCATACCTCAGACAAATGTTATGTGTAAAAGTGTAACTAGAACTTGTGAGAGATATCAGGCAGACCATTTCAGAATTAACATTGTTTTCCTAACTAACTGAAAAATAATTTTGTTGAATTATAAATCTGCATCTAAATTTCCAAATCCTACCCTTTTTTAGCATGTTCCCCCTGGATATTGAAGCTCACATTTCCAACCCTTTCATATCATCTTTTAAGTATTATTTGAATCCTCTAATAGTTTTGAAAATTAAAACTGAGTAACATTTAGTTTTTCCAGGTTCTAATGAAAATATTCCTAAAATATTAAACCTCTCCTTGTACTTTAAACTTCTAAAAGTTATGTCATTTAATAACTACAGTGATGTCTATTTAGATGTAATATTCAATTAAGAACAAGATGACATTCATCATTATCATTCTAGTATGTCTTTGCACTTTTTCAACATGTTACTTATAAGTATATTAACATTATGTATCACAACATTAAAATTAATTTTCCAGTATTCCATCTATGAAGAATGAAAAGTCCTTTTGAATTGAAGAATCATTAACAGAGATTTGTTTCTTTCCACTTTGTTATTATCATCAGCAAATTTGAGTTATTACTGCCTAAGAATTTGGATCTAAGTAATGAATGTCTAGGGTTATAGAGATATTCCCTTCAGGGATCTCATTCAGAGGGCATATCATTGTGACTAAAATACTTCAGAAACAGATTACTGAAACCTTGCTTAAGAAAGTTAAGCTAAGAGGATAACACTAGTTCTGAACTTCTGGAGCATAAAAAGATTGGTAGTGACTTGATTTATGGTTTTAAAGAATTAATAAAATTATGTTTGGACATGTTTTCCTATGGATGGTCATAAAATGATAAATAAAGTCTCTAAAGTTTTGGGTTAACAGAATCTCAAATATGATTTGAATTTAGAGATATTTTTAGCAACTAAAACTGGAAATATTAGTCTGTTGTAACTGTTGTTACTCATTAACTCAAAGTACAGAGATGTTGCACGAGATTTAAGTTTTAGATGTTTTTGTAGATGAAATTTAAACTAAGAAAAGCAATGAAGAACAATAAATTGTGTTTGTAGTGTAATTTTAAAATGCAAACTATCTGTTGCTTGTGTGTATAGTAATAATAGTATATTACACACACCAGACTTAGAGATTATTTGAATGAGTTTCATATTTCATTAAGTGTAGACAGGAAATGCTTTTAATCTTGTGATGCATATCAAGTTTTAATATACTCTTCAATGTGCTTATTATTCTGCCACAATTTAATTCTTCCTATTGTTAGCCGACATTGGGCAGCTGTCAGGGTCACTGATGAGGAGTGGAAATCTCCGAAACTAGTCTGGCTCACAGATACACCCCCAATGAAAGAATAGACCATTCCAAGCTTTTACTTGTTGTTAAACAAATGTTTAAACAACTATTTAATTATGTATCAGCTGCCCAGTATCAGCTAAGAATATGAAGAATTAAATTTTGGCGGAATGCTACAAGTTCTTCAAATACCTATAGAATGATAGGTTTATATTTTGTGAGTGTAAAATACTTAAATATACCATAAGCTATTAAAATAAACAAATTCAAAAACAGCTGTTATCATTCAAATTGTTATCAAGACTTCCACCACATCTGAAAGCAACCCATTCCAAAGACCAACCACCTTTTTTAGAAAAACAAGTCTTAGATGAATATCACTCCTATCCTGCCAAAATGTATATACGTGTCCCCTAGTTGTACCATCCTCATCATTAAGTACAAAAAAAAAGATGCATCAGCGTTATCAGTTCCCTTAGCAATCATAAACACCTCAAACAAATTCCTTCTTATTTCTTATTTCAAGATAAAACAGTTTCAGAAATCTTAACCTGTCTGCTTATAAAAAATTTTCCAACCCTGATGTCATCTTGGTAGCCCTTCTCTGAACCCTTTCAAATGACTGAATGTCTTTCCTTAGGTAAGGAACCAAAGACTGAACACAATACTCCAAATGTGACCTAACCAGTGACCTATACAATGACATTATACCTCTTTAGACTTGTATTCAGTATCTTTTAGATACACTCTACAGTTCCATTTGCCCTAAAACAAGCAATAGCACATTGCTTGGATGACTTAAGAGACTGCTCAACCAGAATGCTAACATTCTTTTTTTCCATGACACTGTTCAAGTTTTCCCATCAAAAGTATATTTATAATTAATATTATAATAACCTACATGCATTACCTCAGATTTATTGATTAAAAGCCATCTGCTAGTTATTTGCCAACTCACCGAGTGATCTAAATCCTTTTGTAAAAGACCAGCATCCTCATTTCAGTCAATAACACCCAAGTCCTCAATATCATCAGTAAATGTAAGTAATTTACTGACCATTCCTTCATCTTTGTCATTGATGTAAATAAAAAATTGCAAAAGGTACTATCACTGAAACCTGAGGTACAAACTCCACTCGTGACACTAATTCTGTTTGACTGCACTTCTGTCAGAAAACTTAATTTTTACTAGTATGTATAGTAATGTAAATATATGGGTGTGTTGAGCTAAGAATTCTTCTACAGTATGTGTCTATGACTTGGTGGTGGTAAATTCAAACAAAAATGAACAGCATGCACTCCACTTGTCTTAATATATATATATATATGTACAAAACTCTACACTACGGAGATCATAGATGTATCTTAAACACTTTACAGTTCTCTTCTTCTTGTCAAAAGTCTACTTAGGCTAATTCAATTGCTTTAGATTTCAGTTGACAAGCCAAACTATTTGTCTCTCCTTTTATTGCAATAGTATCAGTATATAATTATCTTATGCTGCCACATGAGTTACCGCAGTTGTATACTGAACTTCCAATAATTGTCTGATTTTTTATCAAAGTCCACACCGGCTGGTTCAGTTACTTTATAAAACCCTTTGGCAAGACAAATTATTCTCCTTATCTCTTTCAAACTGTTAATCTCTCTCTAACATATCAACTATTAGGCTTTTTACACCTACAACAGTTAACTTTATATCTTCTAACTTTCTTTGACCAAACTTCTCTTTCTTGTGACTTTACTCTTACTCTCTTCCTGTTCCCACTTTCTGGTCACAGCTATTTATACATTTTTGACTTAGGCCTTCTAGAAATTTCGATTGCCTCGGCATCAACGAGTTACAAACACAAAATTAATATATTAATAATACCTACACTAAACAGTCTTTTATATCTGACAACTCCATTTATACCAACCTTATGTTTTCTTTTATCCAGCCACATTCCTATGCAATAAGCCAATTTATTCTTTATACTTTTTAAGAACATTTTTAGATAAGCCTTTTATGTGACATCTTGTCAAATGCTTTCTGAAAATCCAGATGCACCAAATCCACACCCTTACCTGTATAAGCTGTAACCTCTTCAAAGAATGTCAAAAGATCAGTAAGGCAAGGTTTTTCCCTATTGAAACCATATTGACTATCAAACAAAATTTTAAACTTTGTTAAATGACTTTGCAAAGCATCTTTTATCAAACTTTCAAAAATGCTTCTCACCACTGATTTTAAGACTAATAGGCCTATAATTACTGGGACAGTTCTTATTACTTTCCATGAAAAGAGGAGTAACATGAGCCAACTTCCAGTCTTCTGGCACTTTCCCACTTTTTAAGGACTTGTAAAAAGTAGTAGCATCATACTGAGTAATTGATCAAAGACATTGGATGAAATCACTGACTTTCTATGTAGAGTTTTTACAGCAGTAATTAATAGGAACATTTGCAGTATTGGTGTTATTTTTGTTTGAACGTTTTGTGTGGCTTTTACCTTATTAGGGACACTAACCAACAAAGTCATGGACCCAAAAGCAGTTAGGTGCATAAATAGTTTAATAAGAGAACAAAACACTATATAGTATTCCAAATGAGGTTTGTTTGGAATATTGTACAAATATACTACATGTAAGGATCTACTTGCCATTAAAGTTAAATTTACATAAAATTAAATATTATACACAAGCATTTGACATTTTGATATCAAATGTTTTATTCATTGTATCTAGTTAAATTAATCAAGATTTTTATTTAATGATCAGATTCCTTTGTCCGTTAATCCATTATTTTTGCTTCACATTCAGAAGGTTTACAGAAAGTGGCTAAAGAAATGGATAATGAGTGTTCTGATGTGGTGGAAGTGGCGCTGCCTCACATTAAACAACGTTTTAGTTGGGATTGTGGTATTTCAGCTCTCTTGATGGTGTTGGGGTAAGCATGTGTTTCGTAGTTAAATAAATATTTAGAATAATGCAAAATCGGTAAGCTAGCTACCCATCCAACCAGGATTAAGTTGTTACAATAAATACAGTTATTGCTGCAGACTAAATACAAAACTTACTGGCTATGACTAAATTGTATAATTGGTTAATATTAAGTAATTATCAAAACATTTGGTGTCAGGTTAGATCATTTTGTTACACACAACTCACAAAATATATGCAAGAGATTATTGAAAACTAATATTGAATTTGTACACCTGTAATATCATGTTCATATCACAAACTAGAAATAAACAGGTATTTATCTGTTCTGAGTGTTGGGTGTGGTAGTTATGTTATTGGTAATCAGACTATTTATTGTAATTTTTTTGGTTGGTTAATTAATGTATTTTATCTCTCTGAAGTTGCTAATATGGTAGAATTTTTCACTCTACAGGGTAATGTTTAATTTTTTATTTTTAATCTACAGTTGACATGGATATTTCAAGTGACTAATAAAATAAGTTTTTTTTTTTTAGTAATTTGTCCTTTGATGATCAAATGAACTCTTCATTATCCAGTTGTCTTAACTGATTAAAGAAGATTTTTATTTGAATTTTAACTTTTACAACTAAAGTTTATGCATTATATTGTTGATTCTTCTGCTGAAGATATAAATTTTTAGAAATTTTAAATATTCCTATGAAATAATTCCACAGGTTTTAAGACTGCTCGGTACATGTATGTACTCTGTACAATGTGTACATATTGAAGTAGTTTACAATTAAAATGTAACAAACTAATTTGTTTCAGAGAGGATAATAGATACTTTTTAAGAAACAACTTGCGTGAAATTTCCTTGAAAGAGGGATTTGGTAGGAGGTAAGTAATGCAAATGAAACAATCTATAAATATTTTTCTTGTTATTCAATTCTGACAGATGTGGCTGTAAAGAATTCTTTAAGTGCATTTGTTTCCCATTCTTTTTTTTTATGTGTTATATAAGTTAACAGGATGTTTAAAAAAAGAAATGCTAGTTAATATAACAGTCTAGTAATTAAACTTCATTTTTGTAAATACAATGCAGAGGAGGCAGTGCAAAACATTAAAAGCAATTTTATATGGATTACCAGATTGTGATAATAAAACAACAGTATTATCATAAATAATTTGATAACTGGTTTCTGCCTCGTAACATTTGTTATTTTTTGTAAAGAAGAAACTATTATTATGTTTTTCAAGGTTTTTATTTGTAGAATCTAATTATCTAAATGGAAATGAACTTCAACTGGACTGAATGTGACCTCCTGGCTAGTATGTCAAACTGGGCTGGTTATTCTTGCTTTGCATTTTGGAACAATGGTTGCATTATAGTGGCAATCAAATCTTAACTGTTTGACTAGAGAGGCACAAGAGCCTGCAGTGGGTGCTGCCGACTAGCACAGATAGTTCTTGTGTAGCTTTGTGTGAATTCCAAAACAAATAAGTAGTCAATTTGACTGTAATATAACTAAACTTAAAGTACCAAGTTGATCACTCTATATTCTAGGTTCGAAGTACCTTTTATGAAAACACTTTTCTCTTTTGTTGAGAATCATGTAGGCATGAAAGTGTGTCCTGTATGGTAGAGCAGACCAAGAGCATGGATGTCGTATTTTTCAATGGTTTACTCATGGCTAGCTTATCACACACAGTTAATAACAGTGGCATAGAGGAATTTAGCCCCACCAAATTACATTTGTAGCCACACATCTCATCCCTAACAAAAAAAAACAGAATTGATTTGAAACTGTATTAGTCTCCTCGTATTTCAGTATAGAATTTTTTTTCATAAATACTTAATTACATTCATGCATTTTTCAGTTTTTGATTTTAAACAATTATTGTCAGTAGCAAAATAACTCTCAACAATATAATATCTTAGTATTTAAAATTATAGTAAGACTACATGTACTTGCACGGAGTACCCGATAGTGTTCTGTTTCAGATAAACATCGATTTTTGTGTGTCAC